GCCTCGGATGCGTAGTTATGGAAATATCACGGTGATTCTGTTTTCATCAAACCGACCTATCAAAATGATATAAGCAGACAGCACACGCCGAAATTGTACAAACATTAATCTTAGTGTGTTTAATTGCTCGTGTAGGCTTAGTTAACCTGTTGTATTTTCTCATCTGTCATATCTTCAAGTGAATAGCGTTTGTCGTTCCTGAGACATTAGTGTCGTAGCATGGTGAATTATCACATTGAAATCAATTTGGATTTCAGATACAGAAAAAAATAAACATTCAGTTACATAACGCATATTTATATAGGATATGTTATATGTTTCAGGAAAAATTCAAAAGAGAGTTTAGATTACTATTTGCCAAACTACGATGTTGTCCATGTTGTCGAAAAAAGCGGTCAGATTTGCAACAGTTCGACTATTCCGATGACAGCTATGGTCCTCGTAGAGGGAGCAACAGTTACTACAGAGACCCCCGTCTCCAAGTTGGAGTCAATGGGAAGGGAAGGAAATACACGGCAGTGAGGAATCGCGAAGAAAGTACGGACCAAAGCCTGGTATAGTCTCTCCCTTATTTGACGTACATGTAGTCGGTTAGTAAAACATGTGACCTGTTTCTATTCTTAACTTAATGTATTTGGTTCGTTTCCTCCTTGTTTTGTGTTATTTAATTCACTTAGCGCCTTCTCATCTTCATTTGTGATGGGCAATTCCTAGACATTTTATTAGATTACTGGGAAGTATGACAGTTCATGAATTTTATAATTATTAGCTTCAGCAAGAACTAAAACTACAACAGTGCATGTTTTTATGATTCTGAAACGGATAGTTTTCACCGACTTCACCCGATCTAATAATTTACTCTCCCACCGCATGACCCAAACCAACCCTTAATCAACTGTAGATATAAAAGAAGGTATTGCCATGATCTGTGCTCTGGTATCAATCTTGCTGAACCTGTTAACTTCTAGGTATTCTTGAATGTTGACCAGATACCCAATAATAGCGAAGGTAGATATCCACAAAACAGGACATACGGGGTTGTCAAAAATGCGATTTCCTATGAAATGACGTGATAATAATGAAACAATTGTTTTCATATAGTTTAAATAGTTTGAGTTGTCGGCTTCCTCTTGCATAATTCAAAAAGGCATTAACATGACAAAAGGCCACCACCTGCCAATGGTAACAAAAGTGTAACAATTGTAATATATTAAGGTCAAATCTCAAATTTAAAGTCAGACTTGAATCTCTGAGAATTTGAAGATGATTTTCAAAAGATAGTGAATTTGAAGCAAGTCGAAAGTGACCTTTTTGATCTTTCTTGACCTCGAGAAGGTCACTGAAGGTCAAATACCAAATCTAAAGTCAGAGTTGAACCTCTGAGAACTTCAAGATGATTTTGAAAAATGGCCTATTTGAGATAAATTTTGGACCTTTTTGAGATTGAGAAGGTCAAATCTCAAATCTTAAGTCAGATTTGAGATTTTTGAGAATGTAGGTGATCTTAAAAGAAATGGTCAAATTGAAGCAAGTTCAAAAGACCTTTTTGACCTTAAAAAGGTTATAGAAGGATAAATGTAAATTCAAATTTGAACTTCTGAGAACTTATAGATGATTTTTTTAAATGTGCAAAATGAATTATTTCTCATAAACGTTACCCGTGAACTGTCTCATAAGACAACGAATGCGGTTTGGATACAATTTAGATAGAGGATAGTAGTCTGTGATACAAACAATTGGTCGCATGGTCTAAAGCACGAGTGCCCATAGTGATATCTCCATTTTGAAACAACTTCTCTATTTCATATCAAATGACTTAAACTTAATTACCAGTTGTCATATATGTATTGCCTGAATCAATGTTCACTTGGCTCAAATATTTAGTTTTCATAATCTGAATCTATTTTTCCATTATAGGTGGGATGACCGTCGGTCGTCAAAATTTATCTATATTTCTAAATTAATTTAGGCATCTTTCTAATACATCATTTGGCTGGTACGGTCAACTTTATTTACCCGACTATTTTGCATTGATTTCATTGTGAAGTAAAAGGTGATGAGTTCTTCCATTTCATTATGTTTTGCATGCTTCTAGGTTCCTAACATACTATGTGTATAGTATATCACTGGTCCCCACCTGATATCACTGGTCCCCACCTGGTTATAAACAGTAAGGCGTTACGTTTTTATAATACAATGGATGAACTTCATTCAGAGGAAAGTTTTATTTTCATCATTTTCATAAACAAAGAGGTTGATTTGTATCCAAATATTTTACCAGTATGTTAACAGTAACATCCGGTTACTGAACAGGTAGTCATTCACGAGCAAATATATCTAGCAGTTTCAATAATCGAGTAAGAATTCCACATTTCAGCAACGTTATCTGGCGAATTTCATAACGTCCTGGCTGCATTGTGTTAATGGTCGTGACTGACGTGCTTTCCAGGAACTGGATGTTACTGTTAATATATGGTTAGATATTTGGATTCAATTCGACTCGTTCTTCGGGAAAAATCGAGAAATTTCCTCCGACGGGAGTTCATCTATTTTGTTATGAAGACGTAGCCTCTTTATACCCCGATGGGGACAAGTGGTATATTGTTTATAATTAGAAAGAGCAAAATGCATCAAAACCTCGATAACTGAATTTACTGAGTTCCACTGCACGCATCAGCAATTGTAGTCGTGTAATGACTTCACATTTGCTAAATACTCCTACTACAGTATGATGACTTATGAAAATCGTCATTTCGCTCTTTGACAATTTTAAGTTTATAGTACCCAACACACTAATTAGTCTGAAACTAGTTTTAGTTTTTAGTTTAAAACAAGTTTCAAACAAATGTAAAAAAAGATGAGTGTTGGAAATTGTTGATAGTTTGTCCATGTGGAATTTCATGATGATTCAATAAAGGGAAAGTGTTCAAAACAAGTTTTAAAGTTTGTGACTAATTAGTGTGTGATGTACTATAGTACTATAATTAAGTATTTCTAAATAATAAACTTGTTCAAACACATCTAAAATTTAATTTCTTCAAAGACAACAATCTTGTAGATGTAAATGGTGAACTGTCCTACTTCATCATTGACCAGAATCATGTTTGAATTACAACAAAGAATCATGTATCATTCTATATTGGAAATATAAAAGCATGAGTGTATGTACTAACCCATCTTCATAATGCACGAAGGCGAAGCATGAGTGCATTATCAGAATGGGTTAGTACATACACCAATAAAGAATGATACATGCTTCTTTATTTTCTTTATTCTTTATTTTCTTATACTTTTTGTAACGTAGTGGTGTGAATGTCTAGAATATAAGTATGTGTATATGTACCTTTAGTTTAATATGTTTTAAACTTATCTTTTTCAATACCTGTATAAAATGTTTACATGTATGCTCTTAAGACCAGAGAGCAAGTGACCAGGTATCAATTACGAGACAAAAAATTAATTAAGGAACAAAGAACCTTTTAACATTCTTTATTGGAAATGTAAAAGCATGAGTGCATTACCAACCCAAGAAGAACCCAAGTACATTTTCAGGATGGGTTAGTAAATCCACGAATGCTTTTAAATTCAATAAAGAATGATACAGGGTTTTGTATTACTATTTAAATAGACTAATGCACTGTGATGACATCACTATGTTATCAACAAACTACGCCCTTGACTGTAAATCTTCAAATCTGATTTCAGGTGAGTTCAAGGAGTTCACAAAGCTCAAAGAGACTAACATCTATTAAGAGTGACAACAGTGCCCGTGTTTAGATTATGGCCAGAAAATTGTTAAAATACAACAGCGTTCGCATTGAGAATCAAAGCGACTTGTAATATGGCTAACGATATTCGTATTTGTGGCATTTTTGTCAAGCTTCGGTGACTTTTTGTGAAGTTATGATACGTGCAACAAAGCCCAATGTCACTTTCTTGGAGACTATAGGATGTACAGTACAAATAATCTTTGCGTCCTGGCACTCTATATAGTTGACAACAAGGCTTGGGTGACATTTCGTGAAGCTATACGTTGTGCAGCAATGTATTTGTAGTAAGGCCAACATGGCAAGTTGTGAGATATGCTCACAAATGTGTATTAAGATTTGGAAAAGTGATATACACTTCTAAGCCCTCGTGGAGTTTGATCACATTACATGTGGAGGATGGACAACAATGTATATGTGTGATATTTTTGGGAAATATAGCGATGCACAATAATGCATTAATGTTGCAAATACATGGGCGACGATTGAGGAAATTTTAAAGTATAAGATAAATAGAACATCTTTGGTGACTTCGACGGTGAAGTTAGTACGAAGAATTACGCATGACAAATCAAATAGTATCTCTGGGAATATATTAGACTCTTCTCCCGGGTAAAATTGTATGTATGACCAAGAGCGAAGAACTTGGTTCCTATAATTGTATTGCACTCCATGAATTGGACATAACCAAACTCTTGCCAGATTAGGAAAGTATATCTATAGATGCTGCGCATTTACCTCCAACCTTTCTAGAGAGATACCAAGAGACAAAAAATCCCCAACAAAAGGATGAGCTATGATTGTTATTAACTTGTTACACTGCTATGTGAAAAAAGCAGCAGTGTCAATAATTAATTGGCGTACAATACCAATGTAGTGATCATGAATAAGATGTCAATTCTTTTGTTGCTTTTAATATTTATTATGTTCTGAAGACAGCATATGCGAATCTTCCAAAAGAGGTCGTCAAAATAGTCAGTTAAGTTTAAAGCCATATTAAACAAATATGAGGCAGTTTTGTCAAAAACTGTCATCGCCAAGATCAGTATATTACCTTGATAGTATGATAATGTCAACGCATATTATTATAGGCTACCGGAAATGTCTCATTTTAAGCCGATATAATGTGTATACAATCCCTCCACTGTTATACACTGAGAGGTCAACACCTCATTGTGAATATAAATCACATGACTCAAAAATGGAGAATCAAATTAAATTTGAGGAAAACGGAGGTCTTACACAGTGCAGATTATTTAAACCCTTGTAATTGTACAGCACATTGCCTGGGGAATTGATATCTCAGCTCAGTATAACAATTATTTACAAGGTTGCAAATGGCATGGCTCTATGGTGTTTTTTAGTCCATGTTTCCAGAAATGTAGCATTTCTTTTATGTTTAATTCATGAAAATGTTAGACCACTTATCCATTCACTTTGTTTACCTTTAATATAATGGTGAATTCATAGCACAGTAAACAGAACGATCATAACAATAAGTTGTGAGATTGATTTAAATCAGACGTATAATGGAATTAATGTCCATAACTCAACAAGTCGATGTAGCAGATTTATCATGTCCACAGTGGCGTGAATAAATGTATACATGCACACGATAATGTATATCAAGATACATCGAAAAAAGTTATTGAGAAAGTAAATGTTCCATGACGAATTTTGATGGAAATATTTCATAAGAAGGCACTATAAATCAACTATAGCTGTAATATTTTTCATAAATGAAATATTGAACAAGGGTACTGAATGCAACATTCAAACAAATGAACGGTTCTCGACAACAATAGATTCTGACTCTGTCTTCAGTATCAATGGAAACAGTACGTCATGTATATTTGCACAAATACTCAAACCTCTTAAAGGTGCATGTATAAAAGGTATATAGCTGTATAATTAGTATTGTACTTTTCAGTATTGTTAATAACACGAAATTATATATATATTCAACATGCACCCTAGACATTAGTTTGGAAATAGCTAAAGTGATGCCTAAATTCTTCTAAATTTTGTTTTGTTCGTTATGAGCAACATTCAAACAGCTATATACATAAATCAAAAGCAGTTTGGAATAAATGGATAAATGTCAACCAAAGTTTAATGAAAAGAAGTTGTAAATAAAGAAAATGATAGATGGTACAAACATTTAATACACGATGACATCGTTTTGAAAACAATTACATGATTATTTCTCAAATTTGTACATACAAATTGTTTGTATATGATAAAGTATCATGATAAAATAAATTCTTGTCCCCGGGTCTCTTATACCCCTCATTGACGAAGTCAAAGTCAGTAAAAGCAGCAATTTTTGCTTGATTATAAATTGTGCATTTTATACACATTACCGTTAATTCATCTTAAGCCTGGAATGATATAACTACCTTAAACACACAGTTTCCCATATTAAGAGCACAAAGTTTAATGTAATAAGTATATGTATACATTAATGTTACAATGTACAAGTGATAATAAATTATATTTATTGTGAAAAGTATTGTTCAACCATAATGTTTCAAATTAATTTAAATGTGTCTCAGATTATCTTTAATAATGATTTATACTGGGTCAACCTTTTGTTTACTCTTAACAATGTTTCGGATGAGGAATACGACAATAACGATCAGTACAATAAGCAACAGGCTTCCGCCGATAGATACTCCAATAACAACCCCTTTGTTACCATTAGCAGGAGTACCCCCAGCGCTTATGTCAATAGGTGGGTACGTTACATTTCCAATTTCCTCTAGATTATTTGTGACGTCTACATCCGGGACGTAACCAAGTCCAACAGAAGCAACATTTGACCATTTCCCAGAATACCCTGCTGGATTTATTCCTCGAATGACAAAAGCAAACGTCTCGTTTGCATCTCTGGTGGTAGATACATATAAGCTGCATATTTCTGTTGAGCCACTCATTCGTGGATTGGACAAATTCCCATAGAATATATTGGTGGCGTTAAACACAGGAACAATATCAGGTGACGTCAAAAGGCTGAGAGTTGTATTAGCCATCCTTAAATCATATGAAGTAACTGGAAGAAAGTCCAAATGCTTATTTTAACATTCAAATAAGTACACTGTTTTTATCATATCCTATTACATTTAAAACTACGATGCACATCTCAATAAATTTGGAAACCGCATTTCACCATTCGGACTTCTGGTTTCTGTCCATAGTGGTTTTGTTCACTACCCTGCGTGCAGAGTCTAGTTAAACTACACTCTGCCTAGTAGAAATCATATTACAGTTTAGTAGCCCCGCCCCCACGACGGGTGCCGGTGACAGTTCGGGTAATAAATGACTTCTGGCCTACGCGCTGACCTTTCTTCCACAAATCAGCGAGCTTGAAGAAACACGCGCCAAAATAAATTCTGAATTGTCATTGGTCAATTTCGGGCTTAACGATGACGTCAGAGGGAATGACCATATACAGAACGTCGGTCAAAACTGGCCGACGAGCACTGATTGGCGCGGTGAGTTCACAGGTTTATTTTAGTTTGAAAGAGTGAAGACGGAACTCTCTTTTAAGAAGTGAAGTCGAACGAATGCAAAGGGTATTTGTTCACTGGACCTGTTAAATGAAGACAAAGAACAAAGACAATTTTAACAAGTATTTAAATGAGAAGGTTTCAAATAACTAACCCATTCCGTAGTTCATGCGTCCCCAGGGTGCTGTCCACATAAGTGTTACTGCTCCATGTAATACAGAGCTCTTTACTACCTCAAGATCGATGATACGGGATGGTCGAAGATACTTTTCTGGTTTATCTGCCTCTTTGATTCGTGATTTTGGAGGAATATTTGGATGACTGTATTCGAATGCACCAGCAGTAACAACTCTTTCAAATATGTCTGTTATCGGCGTGTTCACCACATAGTTTTCATTGACTACAATATTGTTTAATAACAAATACAATATTTTGGCATATACCGGGTACCATACTATATTTTTTATTATGCTGATTTTGTTGGCGAAATGTGATTTTCAAAAATGAACATGATAAAGTTAGGGATGCGTCGATCGATCAGATCGAATCAATAACCATGCATGTGCATATTGAGCTATTTCTTCATCTACGGTTTTGTTAATCATACCTCTGGGATCCTCAGGATCTTCATAAAATGAGTTATAATATGACTTAACGCGTGTATTCTCAGGGTAACCAACAGCCTTTATGACAGCACTATGTCGACCGGAGCCAGTTAAGGCATAGAATGTTCCTGAATAAATACCATCCCCTCCAGTTACATCATCCCCTACAACGTCACAATAGATACATGATAACTGTCCAGGAGGTACGATTTACAAACGTCAACTCGTTTCATGCATGTTCATTAATCATTAGAAATAAATGAGAAAGTACTATATTAAATTATCATACTCTTCAGTTATGCATTTATCATGAGAATATACGTCGCAGATGTAGATGTTTTAGGATCGGTTGGTCTCTCAGCACATTACCTAATCCATCATCTTGAAGTTTAATGTCAACCTTCCCACCAAATGGCCGATCAACAACTGCCGTTACGTTTGCAAAAACGACTGCACTATTGCCTTTTCTGAGTTTAGCATATATTTTGATTAGATCAGGCCACCTGGCAGATAAAGCAGATAAATCAGCAGTCATTGTTATGGGACTCGACCCCAGGCTGCTTTTGGATGTTACAAGGATAGCTACTCGTTGTTTTGGAGGAAGTAGGGCAGTTGTATCTGTTGTTGCTGGGTTGTAAATAAAGAACTTCCATAAACCAGTCTGAAATTATAAGCTACGAGATAGTATAACCTAAAGGAAAAGAGTATAACAATCATAACTATGTGAGCTACTTATGAATGTGATGTCCGTAAATATTTTGGATTGTGATAATATATGTAATGGTTGGAGACCTCAGAAGAGTTTCCCATAGATGCCCATTATAATATCTTATCCTATATGTTATTGACGGTTAGTAACTAAGCCTAGCGGGTGTAGCGCATCATACCACAGTGTTAAGGAGAGACTTGCCTAGCCTGCTATAGCAAACTTACCATGGGTTGTCCACCGAATTTTTGAGATAAATAAACTTGAAGACACTAACCTCCTCTATCGTCAGATTTCTCAGAAAATTCTGGTAAAATCACCAAGGTCAAAATCACTCCACCGCCAGTTTAAAATGAGATTTCCCACTGAACTTTGACATGTTTTCAGATAAATTAGGACCTACCTTATAAATATTGAGTCCCGATTCACTTCCCAAATGCCAGATGGCGCTCCAATGGGGGTAGGGAAGGAGAAAATGACTTTTTATACAAAAATCAAATTACTAGATCATGGTTATTTTCGTGATTCTGGGTTTTTACATTATGAACAGATGAAATCTTCACCTGGAGCTCTTTAATTGCTCTCTACCTTTGTGGAACTTGTTCTTCCATTATATAGCTGTTATAGAAGTGTGATCACATTCGATGATAAATTTGCCCATGAATTTGTCCATGGATCCATAATGATGTTATTTACGAAATGTCCTCGGGCAACTGTTACAAAAACTTACCATTACAGTATCATTGGCTTTGATTTTCACTTTGAAAAAGTCAGCATTTACGTGTTCCGTAAAAGACTGACTTGTGTTTGCATAGATACGTCCATCTGGAGAAATGAGAACAACAACTATAGGAGTGTCTCTTGTGTATGTGAATAGACACACCATGTCTCTGTTGATGCTACTATCCAGGTAGAACTCTCCATCATGGGACGACAGATCGGGCATTATGAGCGAGTAAGAAACAACCTGGAGATAAATCCATTGATTATATGCAGTTTACTGTAGATAGAAATTGCGACTTGCGAATGAGAAATCCAGACGGCGAAATTGTTCACCTACTGAAACTGGAATGTCATCCTTTGCTCAGTCTCTTGATCCTATATCAAGGAATGCATCAAGCATTGCAGATGACGAATCGTCGTAGCTGTCAAAGTACAGGGACCCACCTTAAATAAAAATACAAAAGAAAACCATGCATTAGTTTTGTTGTTATGCGATTCCCCTTAGTTCGAAATCTCTATCTGGAATTTTTGTGATATATCTTAATATAATACATTGTTGTCATGTTTGTAGAATCATAGTAGAAAAAAAGAGGAAAGATTAAAGTGCACCCGGTTACAAAGATTCAAAAGATGTACCAGTGGAGTGTGACACATTGAGCATCTTATCATCGGCACTCTCAGTTAACAGTACTGTATCTACGACGACACCTGCATCAACGAGATTGGGAATCGTCTCATTCAGAGGGGTTATGCTCCAGTTTGGATCAGGTATGATTGCCTTTTCATCTTCACTCCCATCAGAGAAGAGTATAACATGTCCCCCAGTTGCATCAGCTTTGTTTTCTTCGAGCATCTATAAGACGAATTTCAAAATCAAGATTTTCAGCTTTATTTTCGAAAGGATGTCAAAATTGGGGTATGATAATACAATTTTTATACTTTCATTATATAGGTAGAGATAAGTTTGCATACCACAATTGCCTCTGTGAGGCCTCCACCAATATTAGTGTAGGATCTGAAAGTGATAGCTTTCAGTTTGTCAATGAAAAGTTGCCTATCGTCTTTGCTGTTAATTTTTGTGAGGGGTTGTAGAACCCTAACTTTGATGTTGAACTCAATAAGACCAACTTCATATCCATTCTTGACCCATTCCTCTAAATATTCATGAACAATCTGCACCATTCTTCTTCCTCGTTGGAAGAACTGGAACGCAAGACAAAAATAAAGACAAAAAACGACTTTGCAATGCTTCCTTATATACAAATATGTCAATCTGTTAATGTAATTGATATGTATAATCATATTGACTATTTCTTTGCTTACTAAAGATCAAATAATATATTACCAAAAGGCTACCGGATGTATCTAACACCAGGACAATCTTCCTGGTTTTTGCTTTCACGATGTTGAATATTGGAACCAAGTCACCATCCGCTATATTCCTGACTGGATTTACACCATTTACGAAATCACCCGATGCACCAATGATGTCCCAAGTGCTTTTACCTTCACATAGCATATTGTGCTTATTTGGAGCCTCGAGGTTATGGTTGGAATCATCACAAAATTCGTCTATCTACAGACACAGTAAATAGCTGATACTTCTACTACGATTTGGAATAATCTATATTTATAGATGGTACTATAGTCTAGATTGAAACTAATTAAGGATTATGATTACACTGTATCTCTGTTATTGGCAGCTAGTATCCGTTAATGCCATATCTTACCTCTGACACATAATATCTATCCATGATAGATGAGCGTTCTCCATTTTTATCCTTTGTAACATATGGAAAGAATTGGCAATCATTGTCATAGCGTCCCGTTGTAGAATTAACGCCTGGACACGGGATTTTCGTTTGGTTTTGCTTCCTTGAAAATTGAGTAAAAAGTACCAACAAAAAGCTCTAAAAAGCAAGCCCAGTGTCCTGTTTAAGAACCCCTACTCTAATTATTGAAAATGGATTTTAGCAATACTCACCAACATGTAATTGAATTAACATGGGGATGCAATAGGATAGTTTCTGAATAGCAGAAAAATCAATGAAATCTCGTGCTGCCATCTTTTATTCAGCTTTTAACTCTGGCTAGAGCTCCATTCACTTACATGCTAAAATCTTGGAAAAGTGGCTTAATTTCATGATTTATCAAAGTGTGTTTGTTGAATCTGTATAAAACTTGAATGATATACCACATGATGACCCTGTTTATGAACATGAGTTGTGATTAAACATGCTAATGTTGATTGACATACAAATAATCCACGGTTTTAAAGAATTTTAGCATTGCATCTATGGACATTTGGCCCAACTTTTTTTAAATTGTCATAGAAAATTATTCAAATTACATAACTGTGTAAATCAAAGCTATTGTAGGAGAAAACATTCCACTGAATTCAAATATACCATTTAAAAGAAGGTAATGTAAGTCATTAGAGGTCTAATATGCAAGTCTCTTAAAATCTCACGAAAAACGAGATTTAGCGAGATTTCAAAAGCTATATGGAAACTATACTATTGATTTCATCCTTTAACATGGGGATGCTATTGATTTCATCCTGCATATATGCACTGTAGATATGCAGGATGAAATCAATTGCATCCCCATAATAAGCCAATAGCACTCTTGCTGAAATCCTCATTTTCGCAGAAAAACTCAAGTTGATCGAGTCTCAACACGTAGATTTATTTTTGGTGAGTATTGCTAGAATCCGTTTTCAATCGTTAGAATAGGGGTTCTTAAATAGGACATTTAAGCTCACATATAACTAAGCGATTTTTGAATTTTTTGTTTGGTCCTAAAATCATGAAAACCAGGTATAAAATAAAACCTAGAATTGGTATTTGTATATTTAGACTTACTTGTAGATAGCCCCTTGAAGTCCGACTGTACATCTTGTTGATTCTATATTATTTGTAGTCGTTGAAAAGTAAAACTGATTCTTTGCCTTGGTTGAATATTCTTCAAAAACGCCCCAGCGGAATTTGGCCCACTCATGCACAAGTGTTTTAGCTGTGATATACAAACAAGATTCGATCTCTTTATGATTTTCACCAGATATTTAAGTCTTAAATAATTGAGGTATTGAAAGAGAATGTCGATTACACATAAGTAATTTTGACTTACACCACAGTGTTCAATCTTACCAACGTTTAGATCTTCAATATAAATAATCAGTTACATTAATTTCTGGAAAAGATTTTAATCAACCTGTTGTACTTAATTATGAAAACATTGACCAATTTCCTAAATTATTTCACAAGACTCTAATATCATATTTGATTTTTCTCACCAATATTCCCAAATCTGTCTCTCCATTCTTGTTGATGAAAGATAAGCCGACTTGGTAAAACCATCCGTTTGCCTTTTATTCCACAACCTCCAAATGATTCAACTTCTGTCGAGTTTAAGCCTACTCATCAAAATCAAAAAGTACATACATTGCTGAATATCACTGTAAATCAAAAGTACACCTATTAAGCATTCAACGATTTATATATTTATTGTTTAAAAGTTCAAAATTATTTCCACTGTGTTAAAAGCGGAAAGTAACTTATCATTTACCAGTAGCGTGTAAAATGACGGATTAAGCATATTTCTGCATATACTTACTATGTACTATTGCGAAAATACATATTTTCACACAATGGGGAAATTATATTTTATGAGATATTATATCTGGATAGAGATCATGAAACGATTATTCATAGTGTTCAATTGCTAATCGGCTAGCCAGAGTAAGAACAAATAATCAAAACATAACTGAGAATGGTTCATTCCCGCCTGTCAATGAATAGTTACGCAACTTGGCCTCACGGCTTCTTACTCTAAATAAGGATCTCACGCGCCGGACGTGTCCAGTCCAAATTCCCCTGCTTCATTTTCACTGGGGAGTATCGTGATGCAACAACACCGTTTTGTTGCATCAAGATGGCCATACTTCCGGTGATAGATTTTCGTACGATATTTTGTTTCCCCAATTTAAACCCATTTCTAGGACGAGTTGCTCAATAACCATACACGGTTAGCGCACGATCTATATTTAAAGAAACTGTCATTAGTATACATGTAGCATCATCAAGAAGCAATAACCGAAGATGCAACAACACTCCTTTAGATTTCAGCAATGATGCAGCAACACCAATTAATAGTATAATTTCAGAAGACCATAAATCTCGATAGGAACAGATTTTTAAATGCTACTATTGCAACACCGTTACCCATTACACATATTTGCGTTCTTCTTAAGGCATTTAAAATACACGTCCTGCGGGCGAAGATCCTTTATATGTATTTTCAAAAAATTATACTTTTAAATATTATAATGTACAGGACGTTGTTCTATAACATAGTTCAATCGCCTTTAACATGGCAAGCTTTAGTAACCCAATCTATTTCCATAAACCACTGTTCCATAGCTTGATGACACTGACTCCAGTTAGTATCATTCAAAATGGTGGACAAACATCTTTCGTTCTCGGTAAACATGACGAGCTATTGGAAATTATCTGTCATCCATCTGTGGAACAGTGATAAACTAGTAGATGTACGTTACCACTGTTTATCAAATTATAACTAAAACAGTTTAACTGTGACATTCGTGAGCTTATGTTGATGGGATGATTGCTTCATCTATGATATAATATGATATGATTCTTTATTTCCTCAAATTTGGAGAGCCAACGTGTAAAAACGTCTAATTGACTTTATTAGAGAGGCCGTTTAGTTACACGTTTAATGGAAATCTTGCACGACGCACATGTAAAATTATTGCTCTCTTTGGATTCCTTCTCTCCGACTGAGTAAAAAGGTAAACAAAAGTGAAGATTAAGGGCCCAAAAAGGTAAATTGATAGGGGTACAGTTATCCCAGATATCCCAGGCTCTCGGGAAATATCATATTGTCTATCGGAATAAAACCAATATTGTTTGCAAGTCCGAAGAATATAATAATTTGAAGGATATAATATACAATTATTGACCTCTCCAGAGGTTTACTGTCAAAATTATATCCCGAGACTGTAAACCGAGACCGTAGGTCGAGGTTTACAGTTGAGGGATATAATTTTGACAGTAAACCGAATGGAGGGGTCTATAATTGTTTTGTTAGTCCGAAGAATATCTTAGATTTTTCTGACCCTTGAAGTTGACTTGAAGTTGGATCCAGACCCTCGAGACGTTCATGTTGTATTTCAGTAAATCGGCAGTAAGTTCACTCAATGGAGTCAAATTACTCTCCTGGGCGAAGTCCACTAAAAGCTTTGTCCAAGTTTTAGATTTTTCTTCGTATTTTGACTGTCTTTACTCTCTAAGAGACTAATAATATCCTCATCTTCAACATTTTTGAAACGGCTAGTGCTAGCGGCGGCCATTTTATCGTCTGATTATGACGTCATTTTAGTGGAATGCTGGGAATATTATTCACCGGCAATGCATTGCGCGGTGTACAGTTAAAATTATTCACCGCTCGTTGACCAATCAAAATCGAGTATTTCAACTGAGGTACTAACAATACATTTTGTTGATCGCTCATCAACCAATCAGAATTGAGTATTTCAATTGAGGTACCAACAACACAAATTGACTGATATCTGTTGTCTTTCCAAAATTATATTAGTTATTTGTAAACAATTTCCATACGGTAAATCAAGGGCATTTAATTTAGAAAATGTATAATCTTTATTTTTCAGATACAATATCAATGAGATTGCCTCCCGGGGATTCAGTACTTTATTTAGTTTGCCTTGTATATCCTTTTAACTTTGATATAGACAAAGAAACCAAACAAAATACGTTTCGTTCATGGACCACTGACTCACGCGTTTTATTCATGTCCCGACCTACACCTGTAAACAGAACATAAAATAGTTTCTCTTGTTGTTCAATGATACATTATATTGGCGTTTTTGCATCAGCACATTGGTGTTGTTGCATCATCGATAAGAAACAGAGTGGTGTTGTTGCATCAATAGTGAGGAATTAAAACCCGTATTTATCGCTTCTTGATGATGCTACATGTATACCAATGACAGTTTTTTAAAATATAGATCACGCGCTAACTGCATGTGTATGATTATTGAGCAACTCGTCCTGGAAATGGGTGTAAATTGGGAAAACAAAACATCGTACGAAAATCTATCACCGGAAGTCTGGCCATCTTGATGCAACAACACGGTGTTGTTGCATCACGATACCCCCCAGTGATTTTCAACAAGTATTTAGAATTGCTTCAAAATGATCACAAATAAGTCCAATTAATGGGCCACCAGCCCACCACCCTATTTCCATCCCGAGACACCACTGCTAAGTGATCATACCCTTTGAAATAGCTACATCTGTCCTGTAGTGCCATTCCCACGACGCATCTGTGTATTTGGACATGTCTGACCATGTGTCAGGTAGCAGAATAGAAACATCTTTGAAGTAAGCCCTCTTCTTTGTAGCAATATACAAAGCCTTTGAAGCATCAGATATATGTTTCTGAAACGGGTTTCAAATCAGTATTACTTAACCAATATTTCATAAATAAATTCAACATACTGAATTAACTACATGTAAGATGATACATTGTTGAAAATTTGAAGAGTTATTTCGAACACCTTTTAGCCAAATTAAAAACACTGACAATGAATTCGAGCTAATAGATAATTTGGCTTTTCAAAGGGGCCCGAATGATTGGAATATGGGTTGCCTGAGGCAACAATATTTGGAAAAATAAAAAGGTTATTAAAACGTTTTGTGTACCAACCTGTAGCATTGTTAAGATGGAGGGGTCCTCAGGAACATCTGAATCAATAGAGATTAGTATTCCTGAATATCCATTATTCTCCAGCTTAATTCTAGAAGAAGTCCCATTGGTCGATTTAATCGAGTAAAATAACGAAAAAACGAAACAGAAAACGCTAATCTTCATTGTTTTTATCACTATTTTAATACATTAGTTGTCATACTATATACATATAATCACAAAATCACAACACCACAAACTTTCGGTTATTGTAACGAAATATGATTCTTAACTTAGTATTCAAGTCTTGAGATTATATTGTCAAAGTTCAAATATAACAACGATAATAGTAAACACACATAGTGTATAATCTTCATGGTTTATACAGAAACATTATCAAAGATAAGTAACAATAAGAATAAATAAATATCCACAGATAATCCATTTCGGAACATGTATTTAATCGTGTCTGGCATATTTTGATAGTGTTTCTTTTCAGACTGGTGCTATTTTCACTTTAGGGTTTTAGGGTTCTTGGTTAGAAAAGTACAGGTGTTAGGTAACTGTTTGAATGATAATTTGCTGTGGCTACATTAAATCTATCATCACACCGATGTTGAATAGTGTTATGGCATTAATCCCCACAGGCACCTAGGCCTGTTGTGTCCCTTTTGACTGATCAGTACCAATCAACGTTGATAACGTTGTTTTAAACCTTTTGGAATAGATTTTACTGTTCCCTCTTGAATTACATCGATTGTTCAAATCGCATGTCGAGAGAGCTTTGCCTAGTTGAGTAGCCTTGTCTGTCTAAAGAGCTAACGAGCTCTCCTAGTTTGCGTTGTTTTCCCTTTTTAACACTCCTATATGCAACGTTACAATAATTTCCATCGTCAACATTGATTGTTCCATGATTGCCCTGCTTTTGTTTCTTAATGTTATTGTATTCATTACAATAGTTACCATCTTTCACACCATCAGTTGTATTTATCCGTTCGACAATACACGAAGTTGCTTTATCATCAAATTTAAATTCCTTGGGTGATATAGATGCGAATGCATCAAAACCTGAATTGCTTTCATTGGCGTTGTCTCCTAATGCAGCGTAACGTTTGTGTCTATAACTTGTTTTAATTGGTAGCGTCAACTCAGGTGCTTTATTCTCAGGCTTATCATTCAAACTGTTTACTGTCATGTGCACAGTAGGTGGACGAAGAGTTATGGTTGGAATATCTTGGGTTTGTACAGACGTATCTGGGGTAGTGACAAGCATTGTATGTGTTTTATTAACTGCTGGCAGTTTGTTTGACTCTATGCGTTTCGTCCTGTGTGGTGTCCGGCTGTGCCTCAATGGATCCAAGCCTCTCAACAATAGTCTGCGCTTTTGTTGCTGTAGATGTATGGCCCCGTGCCTTCCCTTGGAGAAGTTATTTGAATTCCTAGAGTAAATGTTTGTCCGTTTATGTTTGTTAGTATCATACCAATCCAGATGGTCGCTAAGTTTTGGAAATTTCAAATTTTCGACATCTTTGATTTCTGTTTTCATCGGTACTATTTTGGCATTCCTTGTCATACTTCGTGTTGTCATTGAGCTGTTTGTAGTGTTGTACTTATGTCGACGAGGGAAAGATTGCTGCAACATAGGAAGTTGAGTTGGATTCTCATCAAGTCGACTATAAACAGCAGAAGCTTTACATGAATCCATCGTGCAAGACATTTCGTGTATCTTAATCCAAAGTACTACAAGTTGTGTTTCTTCGATAATCTATGAGATTTCTAATGTCTACTCTCTTTGACATTAGGAAAAGGAAGGCATCGCCATAGAACGTTTATATCAACAAATCAACTGAACGACCTTGGAAATCGTTAAATTGTCAGAATATATGAGCAATTCTCATATTCATATTTTATATTACTTTCTGGCTTCTGAATTGACACAACAGTTTAAAAGTGAATGTTTCAGGCCATGGGGTCTTTGAAATGTCAATTCCCTTTGTACAACTCAATATCTTATGATAACAAGACTTGCTAATCTACAGAGTAATTCTTTCAGTTTCGATAATCCAAATCTGATAATCCATAAGCAAGTACTTAAGCAATGAAACGCTAGATATGATCACGCATCAAATAAACTTATTAAATCAATACTAAAATTCCATATAACGATTTAATATTTTGTGTATAGATAAATTAAGTGTGTACGTGTTTACCAGTTTGTTTGACAGGTAGGCCTATTCATGCTCCTTTAATTGTGATGATTTGTGAAGTAATAGCTAATATAAGCGCAAGGTAGATTAATTGAAATGACCCATTAGTTGTGAAAAGCAACCATCTACTTTAGAAACACTAGATTTTAAAGGTGTACTTGATAAAATAAGTTCACTGGCTACAATAGATGTCAGCCTACATCAGTATATGATGCGGTTATAATACACATTTTGAACCTGAATATACACTGTTAAAACGTCACTACAAGAAATGAAACCGAGATGATATAAAATATAAGTTCAAGAAAATCGTTCCATAACTTAAAGCACACATGTGTAAATTCAATTTTAAGAGAATGAATATAGTATAGGATCTAACAGACACTTACAAGACATCTCGAGTACAAAAGGTTTGAGGCCTGTAATTAGTTGACACGTGTCTTACATCCCCAAAGAGGCAACACTTAATTCGTGACTGATGAATATCATTTGATATTCAACGGAGGTCACGTGACCTTCGTTCCGTTGGATATTGTACAAATATTTAATTCCATTGAGATAAAATACATGTGCATATTTCACAAGTGATATTCCACGAAGCCAGAAGGGCTATATATCCCTCTCTCACATCCATGGAATAACAAAGTTTTGATGTCTAATTAATCGTAACAATTTACTCCCGGTATATATAAAATTGAAATTACACAGGACTTGGTCATGGCTGGTAAATATCATTAATGTTTAGTACATCGATCAATCAGAGAGTGGAGAATATGACAGTGAAATAATAATGCTTGTTATCTTTTAGTCATGTGTATGAAACTGACATATTAGAGAGTCGGGATGTCTAACATTGTTATATAATGTCTAGACTGCATGATTACATTATCTGTCATTATAATACAGGCACTATATCAAAAACTTACATATAAAATGTGATGAATCCTATATTTTAGTAATAGGAAATGTTCTTGGAATACTACCTTGAGCTGGTAACGCTGTCACCTTTTGCCTGAAGTTACGAATGTAAATTAGACGAGACTTCAAAATGTGCATTTGCGGATCAAAATTGACACAAAAAGTTCAATATCTTTCGATTCATTGTCATAGATTGATGTATTATGACTTAATAGAATTAAAGGCCTTCTTACACATTTTAGGGATATTACAGTAGATCAAATATATTCAAGCCCACTAGACTTGAAGGATTGGGTGTCTTTTGATACAGCATTTTGATTGGGTGTGACCATATCCATGGTGACCTTTGACTCACTCAGAAATGGGTTAAACCCTGAAACTAGGGAGTTTAAGCTTGCATATAAAATCGAAACGCCATCCTATACGTATGACCAATTGCCCATACAAATGAATCGCTTAAGTATTTTCCATTCACCTTAAGGTTGTGAAAAACATTGCAAGCTTAAACTCCCTATTGGCTACTCTTAAGGACTTATAATGTTTCAGAGGGTCGAAAGAACATTTTCATGACATTTCAAACTAATTTTAGGGGTGATTCAAAAAGCGCCCCTGGCGGTAGCCCCAAATCTGTCAATCAAGAGATGTCTTTATGGGGATATTAGACCCACATCTACTTGTTACAGGCCTCAATCCTTTTGTACTCGAGTACTCTAAATGTTTGCTAGCTCCTATACTAATAGGACAGTGTTTTCAAAATATCCGTGATTGATTTTTCATTGAATATTTCATTGAGTTGAATATATCCTATTACAAATTGAAATACATCCTTGAACGACAATACATTCTGATATAACGATCTCCGGAATAGGGAACCTTTTGATACTGGTCAATATATTGAGCTGTATTGATATATTTCAGAATGTATTAGGAATAGAGACACATTTCACAACATTAACGGATCACATGAGGTTATATGTACTGCAATATATCATTCAATGCATGAATATCACCCAGCTCATATTGTCAAATGTCATCGATTTATCGTGTTATAATCAAGTTGTTTTCGTCAGTTCCCGTTGCATCACCCGGTTGTTCACTTAATCTGACAACTTCTCACGTGATCTACTCCGGGGATCTGCTATCATTGTCGCTGTTTGCTAGGGCGTGGTGTCCGCATGATATAATCTAATAGATTCTGATCAATATTTTCCATTCTATTATCATACAATCAATTAAATTGTTTACCCTTGTTTTTCTTATTAGGTGTTTAAGCATGAAGCAAACAGATTTCAAGAGTCAACGTCTAGTCAAATTGTCGATATAAATGATTGAATTGTGAAAGATAAGTGGGCATTTAAGGATGCAGTACCAGGTCAGCGTAGAAAAAGTTCCAGACATTAGATTTTGCTCATATTTTTTACAATGTATCACTATGATGTTATCATCATCCAAGTGCAATATGAAGAGGATTGACCGTCTGGTAATTACAAAATAAAAAAAATATTTTACCCACCCGAAATGAATCTTTTTACTTTTTTGAGTTATCAATAGAGCTGGCACCTTTCGAACCCTGGTTTTCGTATCCACTAATTGCGACTCAAGAACAAGTTTTCCCATAAAAGTGAAAGGGATAAAATATGCTTGATAAAATGTTTGCAATTTAATTCTTTTCTGGAAACACCATTATCGAAATAAACTATAATTTTTGAATAAGACTAAATGCGAAAATGACGTTCTTGGGAGCTAGCTTTCTCAAACCGGAAGTCAAACCTGCGCAAACAGACGTGAAAACCGACCCGGTACTGCATCCTTAAAACTCTTACTGTGCCTAATCGGTTTATGCGTATGTCCATTGCATGAGGATATTGGTTCCATCATTTAAGTACTTACATTTATGCGTAAACACGTTCGAAAACCTACCCTCTCTGTCATGTTGGCATTAGATATCGGATAATGGTGTGATTGGTTTCATTAGGCCTAAAATGAAGATTATGCTTGTTTTGAGGTATATACTTGAGGTATTTAGTCAAAAGTATTGAAATTGTTTGTTTTTTTGGTCGCGTTTATTTCCAAAATGGTTTGATACCTTGGTTATGAAACCATGTGAATCATAGTTACCTAACAACCCAGTCACTTTTTATGTCACCACCAAAAGTGGTGACATATTGTTATGGTCTCCGTTTTTTTTGCGACGGCGGTTGGCGTCCGGCGTCCGGCGGTTGGTGGTTGGCGTCCGGCGGTTGGCGTCTGTAACAATTTCTTACAACTTCCTATAACTTAACAAATACTGTTTAGACTGACTTCAATTTTTTTCTAAATTATCTACATGTTCTCAGAAGTTCAAATCTGACTTTAGATTTGACATTTGACCTTCAATGACCTTCTCAAGGTCAAAAAGGTCTTTTTTCAACTTGCTTCACATTGACTAAATTTTTTTTCAAAATCATCTACATGTTCTCAGAAATTCAAATCTGACTTTAGATTTGACATTTGACCTTCAAATCTGACTTTAGATTTGACATTTGACCTTCAATGACCTTCTCAAGGTCAAAAAAGGTCAAAAAGGTCTGTTTTCAACTTGCTTCAAATTGACTAAATTTTTTTTTCAAAATCATCTACGTGTTCTCAGAAATTCAAATCTGACTTTAGATTTGACTTTAGATTTGACATTTGACCTTCAATGACCTTCTCAAAGTCAAAAAAGGTCAAAAAGGTCTGTTTTCAACTTGCTTCAAATTGACTAAATTTTTTTTTCAAAATCATCTACGTGTTCTCAGAAATTCAAATCTGACTTTAGATTTGACATTTGACCTACAATGACCTTCTCAAAGTCAAAAAAGGTCAAAAAGGTCTTTTTTCAACTTGCTTCAAATTGACTAAATTTTTTTTTCAAAATCTTCTACATGTTCTCAGAAATTCAAATCTGACTTTAGATTTGACATTTGACCTTCAATGACCTTCTCAAGGTCAAAAAAGGTCAAAAAGGTCTGTTTTCAACTTGCTTCAAATTGACTAAAAATTTTTTTTTAAATCATCTACGTGTTCTCAGAAATTCAAATCTGACTTTAGATTTGACTCAAGATTTGACATTTGACCTTCAATGACCTTCTCAAAGTCAAAAAAGGTCAAAAAGGTCTTTTTTCAACTTGCTTCAAATTGACTAATTTTTTTTTCAAAATCATCTACATGTTCTCAGAAATTCAAATCTGACTTAAGATTTGACATTTGACCTTCAATGACCTTCTCAATGTCAAAAAAGGTCAAAAAGGTCTTTTTTCATCTTGCTTCAAATTAACTAAATTTTTTTTTCAAAATCATCTACATGTTCTCAGAAATTCAAATATGACTTTAGATTTGACATTTGACCTTCAATGACCTTCTCAAGGTCAAAAAAGGTCAAAAAGGTCTTTTTTCAACTTGCTTCAAATTGACTAATTTTTTTTTCAAAATCATCTACATGTTCTCAGAAATTCAAATCTGACTTAAGATTTGACATTTGACCTTTAATGACCTTCTCAAGGTCAAAAAAGGTCAAAAAGGTCTGATTTCAACTTGCTTTAAATTGACCAAATTTTTTTTTCAAAATCATCTACATCTTTTCAGAAGTTCAAATTTGACTTTTACAAGTTCTCAGAAGTTCAAATCTGACTTTAGATTTGACCTTTGACCTTCAATGACCTTCTCAAGGTCAAAAAGGTCTTTTTTCAACTTGCTTCAAATTGACTAATTTTTTTTTCAAAATCATCTACATGTTCTCAGAAGTTCAAATCTGACTTTAGATTTGACATTTGACCTTCAATGACCTTTTCAAGGTCAAAAAGCTCTTTTTTCAACTTGCTTCAAATTTACTTAATTTTTTTTTCAAAATCATCTACATGTTCTCAGAAGTTCAAATCTGACTTTACATTTGACATTTGACCTTCAATGACCTTCTCAATGTCAAAAAAAGTCAAAGAGGTATTTTTTCAACTTGCTTCAAATTGACGAATTTTTTTTTCAAAATCATCTTCATGTTCTAAGAAGTTCAAATCAAACCTTCTTAAGGTCAAAAGGTATTTTCCAACTTGCTTTAAATTGACCAAATTGTTTTAGGTGGTGACATTTTGTCATGTTAATGCCTTGTGTTGTACGTTGTCATACGTAGACCACAGATCAATTAAATATGTGAATTGTTGCGGCGAGCGTAGGAAAACTCGACAGTCGCCTTGCGGTCTCCGTAAAGCGCATCCATTTTTATACATGCCGCAAGGTAGCCGTATAAATTATTACTCAGAGCTATAATATTTGTTCATTTCTGTGGTCCGCGTAGAAATCAACAGGCTGATGCCAGACTACAGATTGGTCCAACGGTGGACGCACGTCGGGGGTTACGTTGACTTGCGTCTGCCGTAGTATTATGATGGGTTATGTACCTTTGGAAACAGTTTTTCAGGTCAAGTTTGTTGTCGTATCTTTGATGTGAACACAATGCAATAAGTAAAGTGTTTGATGTAAGGTCACTGATACCACAGCAAACTATATTACAAAATTAAAGATTAAAATACTATTGGTCAATGTACCAATTAATACCACTTTTTATTTGATATTATATCCTAGCACTATAAATAACATTTATAAATTGTACTGATTTAAATTAAGTAGAAATAAACATCAACGTTTATCAACAGAAATTCAATATTCGCCTTACGGCTGCCGTTGAAAAAGTGACTGCAAAAGTGTCCGACCGCAGAAATTCTAAGGCGAGCGAAGAAATGTTACTGACCGCAGAAATGATAGACCGTACGGTCGCCGTAGGAAATGTGACTGGGGTGCTAGTTACTATTACCTAATTGTCCGAATATTACAAAATTGAGGCAAACTCAAAAATGGAGTAAACAATGTATGCATAATATTATTTACTGGTAAAGATAATCATACCTACATGTAAACATAAAAGATACATGACATTGTTCATATGCATATTTTGTTTTCAACTATCGCCATTGTTTTTTCATATCAATTTTTAGAAGGAACAACAAGACAATTATAGGCTTTGGCTAGACTGGGGTCTTTAAACCTGAATTCATAGCATCGACATTAGCGTTATGATAATGTGTATTAAAGATAAAAACGAGAGGTTTTCTTGGTAGTTGCATTGCGTTCCGTTTTTTATCAAAATAATGTTGCCGTTTATGCTTTTAGATATGACTAAATATTCTCAGTTAAAGAAGACATATATATTACATTGGGCTCAGCTGTTGCAGGAATACACCTGGTATTGTAGTATAATAATGATTATACTATAGCATATCCTTAATATTATTGAATAGTTTACCGCAGCGAAGTGAGTTCCACTGTATAGACTTTTAGAACGGAGTGGATGTTTATATGCAAGTAATCGTAAAAAACAAGATAAATGCGATCAAGAATGATATGCAGATGGGCAAGTTCATGTATTGTCTTATTTGTTGGATTGACAGTTGCAACAAATGGTAAGTAATACTACATAATTAATTATCAAATACAAGTTCATCATCGATAACACATGTGGATCAATTACGTTAAAGCTGCTAGGCAACAGGTAGCCATAATTTCTGAAACAGGGGTAAAAGAGAATTATTTATAGCATCCGTTTCCATGGTAACGGCCCGAGTCAAAATTCTGTTAAACCTCAAATTTGCAATGCATGGTATCAGAGCTTTCCGATGGTACCAAGAATTTGCTGGGGGTCAATAAAATATTAAACTTCCTTATTTTAAGGCTTTGGAGGATTTTCCTAATCGTCTTTATCCAAAACCATAATTTGGGACAAAATAAGAGTTACCTAGCCGCTTTAACTTTCATTAATGCCTTGGTCACATAGGCTCCGATTTTCACTACGGCGCCCGGCCGATGAGTATTTTGTTCAAAATCGGCCGGCGAGCCCGGGCATCGTACGGGCGCCGGGCGATGATCGCCACTCATCGGCCGATTTTTAGACATCGTACGGGCGCCGGCAGAGTTTTATCGCGGAGATAAAAGTTGCCGATGTCTTGGCGATTTTTTCTCAAGCAAACTCATCGGTACCTACCCGGCCGTGTCCCGTCCGGTCATCGTACGATTATCTTACGGCGCCCGGTGGCATCGCACGGTCATCTTGGGATTTTGCGTGCTAATTTGTTTGATAAATCTTAATAATGATTACTTATAAAGTGATAAAAAGGTTCTAAAAATAATGAGGTAAGGAATTATAATTACTACATACTGTCAGAGATTTTTTATAAAACATAAATGGAACGATTAGGCTTACTGTAAAACAATGGCACACATCTGAATGGCTGGGTGGGTGGGTTGATCTAGTCGTTCTTATATATTGACATTAATCGTGTCATACACATTGAATAGAGTGATACATTTTTATACGTATATTCACTCATGCATATACCATTACAAATCATTTATTTTAAAAATCTTCTGACTGATTTTGTGAGTAGTATTTTGAAGGGTCACAATTTTAATACGAAGTTCACTGTCTCAATAATTACAGTTAATATGCCAAAGGCTAAGGATAGAGGGGATTAGGCCAATTGGCCATATATAGGTAGACATAGTATTTGTTTATATGAAAGATCTAAATTTGAATTAAGGTCAGGGTGCACTTTGATGAAAACACCACGTGCAGTATGGGAAGTAATTTTAGACGGTCATAACTTTCACCATGAATATTTTCTGGGCATAAATACAGTGTTCTTATTAAAACAATGTGTTTTCTTTCAATTGGAGTACCCATGATAGTAAAATATCAATCAAACAATTTGAAAAATTATGATTAGGGACCCCATGTCAGCATTTTTTTTTCTAAATATTGAACCTATTTACTCGAAAAGAGGATCTTCTTTTTCTGATTTTTATTGCATGAAAACATTATTAACCTGGAAGTCCTGTCTAGCGAAGTATTTCGTTTTCGAATCTTGCATTCACGCCATGTGGAACAGTCATACTGGGTCATACAAGAATTAAGTATAAATCTAGAGGCCTGTTTATCGACCGATGTCCTGGCGGGTGCCGTACGGCCATCGGCAGATAGCCTTGCGATACCCGTGCGATGTCTTTCAGATTCAATTGATTGCGGGCGCCGTACGATGCCTTTACTAATGTGACCATACTCACGATTAGATCAAGACATCGGTGAAAAGACGCCGGCGCCCGGTCGATTTAGAAATCGACCGATGACTACTCATCGGCCGGCGCCCGGCGCCTATGTGACCCAGGCATTATGGGGTAATATGATGTTAAAATAACAATGCACTATATTATCCTGTTTTCAGCGCATATAGTGTTTTATGGTGAATTACTTCTATCTGAGACCATCATAAAAAATAAATATATAGTCATTAAATAATGATGATGGCGGAATGTGTAGAAATAAAGCACAATGAAAAGTGTACTTGTTTTTGACCGTGCATAATAATTAGCTACCGTCGTTGATTGGTCAAATTTTACCGACATAAACATTGGGTCGGTAAAGCACGTGGCTTTCTCTTGAGTACAAGGCGGTCATAATAGAAATCAAGATAAATAAAAGAGACCGACTTGGGCAAGGCTAGACAAAACTGTCAAATAAAAAAAACCGTGTGCTTTAATGAAAGTTAAACTCGGAACACCAGCCATTGATCAATCCAGTCCTAACAATTCCATTGATCTTTAGAGGAATGTGTGTAAGAGAAGGGAGAGACTTGGTCTGACAAGGATGAAAATGAAGGACAGGGATATGGGTGGGACAGGTACTGATGTGAATGATAGTGTACCAGAGGAAAGGGAAGATGACAGTGTGAAACTGGATGAAGGTAAGGATGCTTGTGTGATTGATTCTGAGGATGAGAATGTGAATGTGGGTGCAAATGTGAATGTTGAGAATGATGTAGTAGATGATGAGTCAGAGGACGAGGGATTTGAATCTGAGTGTGACATGTCCGAAGAACAAGTCATTGACAAACTTAAACTCATAATGAAAAATACGTAACACTAAAACATGTACAACATATAGGCCTAATGCATGAAATAAAGTGCTACAGTTATTAATTTGACTTTTAGTATTAATTAATATGTATTTTTATATACTGCAAGATGAATGACTTATTCCCTCCCCCTGGTGTATGTATTTAATTTAATTTATTTTTAAAAAATTGTCCAGTGTTTTTTTAAACTGACTGGTCAAAATTTTGACCAGTCAAAAAAAAATTTGTCCAGAGTGTTTTAAAGTAACTTGACAAATTTGTCCAGACACCAAAAATGCTTATTTTCCACACTGCTATCATAGATGGCAGTACTCTGAGACAAGTAATTAAATATGTCTATTAAGCCAAATGGTGGAAAATCCTGGAACTGTTGTGTGAAGTTCAGCCTAAGAGGATCTTCTCTAAATCCAAGCCTACGGAGGTGATCCAGGGACGATCTGTTTCCAGGAACTGCACTTTGCAGATCTGGATTTTGAGGAAGATCCAGCTTGGAAACTGCCTCGGCAATCCTCACCAACTCAGGCTTGTTGTATCCACTACACGTCACTTTCCGCTCGCCCAACCAACGCTTGAGATCTTCAACTTTCCAAGACAGGAAATTTTCCTGCCGATTCATCGTAGATATTTGCGTATTTGTGATTATGATGGAGAAATTGTTTTGCGTGTATATGAAAAGTAATGGCGTCCGAGATTTTCTGGCCCGAGATTTTAGAAAACGGGATTTCGCGAGATTTTGCGATACTACCCGGGGATTTAGAAACTATACTATTAGACAACTCATTTGAAAATATCGCAGAATATATTTTTAGAGATGTAATATTAGACACCTGTTGAAAATTATACTGTAAATAAATTGGGTGGAACCCTGGTTGACCCTGGGAGTTCACGCTGATTCATTGACTCAGTCTAAATATTATCATTTTGGTATATATTTATATATAAAGTTCTTTACGGAGTATATATTACATTGAACTTGATAAGTATATTCACAAACAGACACTTACCTATTAACCTATACCTATTAACTATTGTGACTTCTAATTTGCAGGTCGGGATTCTTTTAAAAATAGAGTCTATTCCTCGCCCGAGAGAATATACAAACATCTTTTTGATAATGGCCGATACAGCAAGAATATCATTCCGGGAGAAGAGACCATAAAAGTTTCATTCCAAATTGGCCTTCATTTTTTAGAAAAAATTGTAAGTTAATATTTTGATGATACTCCAAATTTATGATAACCCCCAAACAATCTATTGCAAATCAGTGAAATTTGGGGGTAGGGCCAAATAAGCTCACTAAGAATAATACATACTGTATCTCGTCTTTCACAAGAAGGAGTGAGTAGTCTAATAGGCACAGCGACCCGGAAGTGTTCGGCAGAGGTCAAATATAAGCGCTCTGATTGGTCAATTTTAATCACGTGACCTCGCTGTGATTGGTCAATTTATAAGCCACGTGACCCGGTACGTATTAGCCTCTATGAGTTTAATAACATGGGTTAATGGGCAATAAATGTCTCATTAACATTGATGGATGGTTTATCATGAATTTATAATCTAGCTTCAGCCCGCACTTACGGTACAATCCTAGCAATTTGATGAGAAGGTTGACAGCTGTAAGTCGTAAAAAAGGAATAATCAAACTCATAAACCCAACTTCGATTACCAAGTTCGAAACGGCCGTTAAGCAGTCCCAGTATATATAAAGACAGATTAACTTATCTGTTACAACATTAAATGCTAAATTACTAACGATGCCGATCGGAAAATTTCGAGTTCCAGCTAACATTAAAACCATAAAAAATGGAGACTTCATAGAGACAATTTCCACACCAAAATTAGTTTTAATGAAAATATGCGATGGGATGTTCTCAGCCGTCAATAAAGATGGGGTCGACATCCGAAATTACCAAATATGGCCAATCACAGGCATATCAAATGTATGCAATGCCTATGGGACGAGTGCGGGAATATTTCTAACTCATAATCGTATGGCTAGACTCATCGACAATTTGCCTCACGTAACGGCAAAATTTGAGGAGATTGAAGCCAAGAAAAAAACGACTGATATAACAGAGTGGGACATTTTACTTGGGGGAAACTTTCGTCTCAATGTCCATCCTAAATATCGAAGAGTCAACATACGAGGTAAGGTTTTTAAATGATTTGTAACTGATCATAGAATGTTAAAATAAAAAAAATAAAATGAAAAATTAAAAGAATCAAAAAGAAAAAATTGAAGTTGTCAATATTATTGTATCCATTTATCATATTTTAAAGGTTATCACATCAATAATTACTCTGACGATCCGCGAAAACATTTGCCTGATCGGTACGGTATCGTGATGACGCGCCAAGTCTTTGAGATGTTTGTGGACAACCTCATCAAATATGGTCTCGTTCAACCTACCGAACCTCATTGTATAATAACGGGTCATGCAGAAAAAAGTGATGCTGACAACTGTAATGAATGTGGTTATTTCGAGCCTGCGAATTCTGACACCCAGTGTTAAATACAATGTATCTCAAAGTAGAAATAAAAATATAGGCTATATATATGAAAATTAAAAAATGTATCAAATATGTCGTGTTTTCTTAATAAGAAAAGGAATTTGTATCAGAATGTATATATATATCGTGATGTAAGGTAATACTACCAGTCATTCCTAGGTTGTTGAACATGATAGGTCAATTATTATCTTTGAGTGCTATCACAGCATGTTGCATCTGTCAAAACATCAATGTTACTCAACACTTAAATGAAACTGAAAACGTAACAACTTATTACATACTGAAACCATATATTAGTAGTTATGATGTAAATCTGGAGACACCAATGGCATTAAGCTTTACAGGGGGCGTTTTGACTTTTGTTATCATAGGTAAGTTGCGTGATTTTGGACCAACTATAATATATCGCGATGTTTGGATTATATGTACAGGTGAATGTAACTAGTGGTTTATCATTTTAGCTAATGTGTTATGGATTAGAATGATAACGAGATCCAAATTACCGATTGTTAAGGATGAGAGACAAAGGGTGCCTATGATTGCTGTATGAAATACATATAATGTTTATAAAAATAGATATGCTGAATAAATAATATCAAGACATTTTATATTATTTGATTGAATTTATTAACACTATAATGAATATATACAATGAAAAAACAACCTTATGTTGGCACCATATCACATGATCTACAAATAAGATTAAACAAAATATTTAATGAAATTGTAACATATCAATTTGAAATGCTACAACTCACATTCACAAATAAAACAATATGTTTTTCTTTCATAAACTAATAGAAGAGATAAGCTTACTTGTTAATGTAATGTTTGGACTCCTTTATTGTTACAAGTATTATCTGAAATCGATGACCCTGTAGTTTGCTCTTTTAATAAACCATAACTATAATATTAAATAAACAAATTTACACACTCAATGCAAATCGTAATTATTAATGTATAAAGTGTTACAAATTCAGTTAGACAATGTTTCTATATCTGTTTCGTTACATTTCTGTATATTATAAAGGTTAAACTATCAATATGGAGGTATTCATTTCTAATAACACATACCTTATGTATCTTTCATATAGATATTGCTTATCACTGTATAACCCACATAATCTATCATCACACTCTCTCTCATGCTATAAATCATATCATATTTCTTAAGCTATCTTAGATAAAATATCAATTTTCAGACAAACATATCATAATACATCTATATTCTATAGCAATGTTTCACTTTCTTTTTATTTATTTTTTAAAACCTAAGATATAAGTTAATTGTTTAAAATAAATATTTTTATAGTAATAATTCTAAAATACTAAAATTGAATAAGTAATTACCTGAATTAGATTATTTCTAAGTACAACATGACTGTAATTAAAGTGACAGTGTACTGTGGCCCACGCTGGATAGTTCCGCTTACATTTAATGATGTGTTGAGCCATGCGTGTGGGTTTCACCCAATGTTTATTGTCCAATGTACAACGTATCATCGTAGTTTAAACGTTAAGAGAGAGAGAGAGAGCCTTAAGTTCAATTGAGTTTATATACCTGTTAGCATATGAGTTTTTTTTGCAAATACTTTTGATACGAGTCCTTGGGTAGTTCATTGATATTTATGAGTTTTTATGAGTTTTTATATGCGTTATATTAGAATATTTTATAGTTAATAGTATAATCACCACTTGGATAAAATGATACCATCAGAAACAATAATATTCATACCATCATACGTGACTTTGATATTAGTTCTTGGACAATTGATTGTTGATGACATGTTTATTGATATTTATGAGTTTTTATATGAGTTTATGATAATATTTTGTAGTTAATAGTATAAATACCATCTGGATTAAATGATGCCATCAGAAACAATAATAATCAGACCATCATACGTGACTTTGAAGTAGATGTTTTTATTAGTCCTTGTGTAGTTCATGTTTTATGACATGTTTATTGATATTTATGAGTTTATCTATGAGCTTTATTTCTTTAATTAGAATGTTTTATAGTTAATCCAAACATAAAAACAGCCCATGACATGTTTATTGATATTTATGAGTTTTTATATGAATTTTATCTCTTAATAGCTTGTTTCACAGTTAATTGAAACATAAAGTTCACAATTAATAGAAGAAACCCATATCATTTGAGATTAAATGCTCTGTCTTTTATGAGTACTAGTATCTACAACTATTTTTGATGTTATGAGTATTAGCTATCAATTTTTTCAATTTTTCTTCAACATGTATTGTAATGACTTCAGTATGAATGAAATGTACCTTGGTGTTCTGGTCCTGGATTGTGATATTTGTCCTCGATTGGAGGGGGGGGGGTATTAGACATTGTTTCTTTTCACGTTAGATCATGGTTCTGGGTTATATAGGGTCTACTTTTCTAATGACAGATTGACACTTAGAGTTTGCTTTTCTTGTTGGGCTTCTTTAAATTTTTTAGTCAACCTTTCCAATGGCACTTGCTCTTATATATTCAATTTGTGTAGTATAAATAGTGTTGTCTTGGGTTACGTCTACACTTCATCGCTATTCATTAATTAACATAGGAGGACACATTGTTTGAACAATCTACTCTAATACTGGTAAGTAACATTTTATTCTTCAGAAACAATAATAATCAGACCATCATACGTGACTTTGAAGTACCAGGTAGATGTTTTTATATTAGACCTTGTGTAGTTCATTGTTAATGACATGTTTATTGATATTTATGAGTTTATGTATGAGCTTTATTTCTTTTATTAGAATGTTTTATAGTTAATCCAAACATAAAAACACCCCCATGCCATGTTTATTGATATTTATGAGTTTTTTATATGCATTTTATCTCTTATCAGCTCGTTTCATAGTCAATTGAAACATAAAGCTCACAATTAAGTATAAGTATATTCAATTTGTGTAGTATAAATAGTGTTGTCTTAGGTTAATTCTGACACTGCACCTCATCGCTATTCATTAATCAACATAGGAGGACACATTGTTTGAACAATCTACTCTAATACTGGTAAGTAACATTTTATTCTTCAACTTCAGTGTCTTTGATTTTCTTTTCACAATCTCTGTTATTTATTTTAGGCAGTTGATAAGCTTAAGTATAAACATTTCTCAATATGATAACACCTACTTATTAGACTTAGGTTTAACTGCAAAATTGCATTGGTCATATATATTTACAATTTATAACATCTGGATTTATCACAGTATGTTTAACTTTTATTTTACTAGTTACTATGGCAGAATGTATTGTATGTGGTAAAACAATTGACAACTGTGATTATCAATGGATCGTATGCGTAGATTGTTTAAATGTTCAATTACCTAGTGAAGAGAAGGATGTAATGGAACCGGCGGTCCATGTCAATTCCGAGAACCCTTCTTATGGTGAAAGTGGAATGAATCAAACATCAATCCATATTGGTTAGGTTAACATAATTTCGATTAGTGTCAAAGTTAGTCAGTTAGTTAGTTAGTTGAATAGTAACATGTATAGCTTGGTTCTTGTTGTTTTTGAATATTTGAATCATTTGTTATTATATCTCAAAACTTAAGCATATTTAGATCAATACAAACTAGAACATATTAATAATAAATGAAATAAACTATGACTATTTTTACATTGATGCAATATTTTATATATTTAGATAATTCAACAGGACAAGTAG